GATAGGGACCAAGGAAGACTACTATGGGAGGAAATTGTTAAGGCCACAAGGCACGATAATGTAGTAATTCTAGGAGACTTTAGCTTTAGTCATATTGATTGGAATTTCTTGACTGGGAATTTAGAATCATACGACTTCTTAGAAGTAGTTCAGGATTGTTTTTTGAAGCAGTTTGTGACAGAACCTACAAGGGGAAATAACCTGCTTGACTTAGTTATGGCAAACAATGAATCCCTTGTTAAAAAATTTAGAAATTTCAGAGGAACTGGGTGCTAGCGACCACAAATCAATTACATTTAGCATTGAATGGAAGTACGATAGTAGCGATAACTCAGTAACAGTCCCAGATTTTCGCTTAGCAGATTACGATGGGCTTAGAGAACACTTATCATCTCTTGACTGGGGTAACGAAGTGAGCTATCAATATGACAGTTTTCTGAACACTATACATGCTGCTCAAAGAACGTTTATCCCATATAAAGAAACTAGATCAAATAGAAATGACCCAAAATGGATGAATAATAGGCTCAAATATCTACTAGGGCATAAGAAAGGAATTTATAGGCGTATCAAAAGAGGTGAAGGTCATCTTATGAATCAGTATATTGACATTAAGAGGGACATTAAAAAGGGAATAAGAAAAGCTAAAAGGGACTATGAAATTAAAGTTGCTAGGGATTCTAAAACTAACCCAAAAAGTTTTTTCCAGGTCTATAGAACAAAAGTTAGAGATAAGATAGGTCCCCTTAAAAATAACTATGGGCACCTTACTGACAAAGAGAATGAAATGTGCTTGATTTTTAATAATTATTTTCTCTCAGTTTTTACACAGGAAGACACTAACAATATTCCAGTAATTAATTTTTATAGTGGGCTAGAAGAAGATAAATTATGTAACATCACAGTCACTAGTGAAATGGTTGTGAAGCAGATAGACAGACTGAAGCAAAATAAGTCGCCGGGTCCTGATGAGGTTTTTTCAAGGGTTCTTAAGGAATGCAAAATGGAACTCTGTGAACCATTAACTAATATTTTTAAATTATCTCTTCAAACAGGTGTAGTGTCTGATATGTGGAAGATGACTAATGTAATTCCTATTTTTAAAACAGGGGACAAGTCGTTACCGTCAAATTACCGCCCAATAAGCCTGACCTCAATTGTAGGCAAATTACTAGAGTCAGTTATAGCTGAGATTATAAGAAGCCATCTCGATAAGCATAGCTTGATTAATGATACTCAGCATGGATTCACAAGAGGCCGGTCTTGTCTAACTAATTTATTAACTTTCTTCAGTAAAGCTTTTGAGGCTGTTGACCACGATAAAGAATTTGATATTATTTACTTAGATTTTAGTAAGGCTTTTGATAGAGTTCCGCACCATAGACTGTTAAAGAAAGTGGCAGCTCATGGCATTGGAGGAAAAGTGCTCTCGTGGATCGAGTCATGGCTCACTGACAGGAAGCAGAGAGTGTCCATAAATGGGGTTAAATCCGAGTGGGGATCTGTAACAAGTGGCATTCCACAGGGATCAGTCTTGGGCCCGTTGTTGTTTATAATATATATCAATGATCTTGATGAGGGAATTACTAGTGACATGAGCAAATTCGCCGATGACACAAAGATAGGTAGGATAATTGATTCAAACGTAGATGTTATGGAACTTCAGGAGGATTTAAACAAACTCTATTCTTGGTCAGAAAAGTGGCGGATGCAGTTCAATGTAGATAAATGCAAGGTTCTGAAGCTCGGGAGTGCCCATAACCCTAGTACTTATAAGTTAAATGATGTAGAACTTAGCCATACAGATTGTGAAAAGGACTTGGGGGTTATGGTGAGCAGCCACCTTAAACCAAGACAGCAATGCCTAAGCGTACGTAATGAGGCAAATAGATTACTGGGATTTATATCAAGAAGTGTAAGCAACAGAAGTCCAGAGGTCATACTGCAGCTTTATACATCATTAGTAAGGCCTCACCTAGATTATGCAGCTCAGTTCTGGTCTCCGTATTACAGAATGGACATAAATTCGTTAGAAAACATTCAGCGTAGGATGACTAAATTAATACATAGCATTAGAAATCTTCCTTACGAAGAAAGATTGAAGACTCTTAAGTTACATTCACTTGTTAGACGAAGAATGAGGGGAGACCTGATCGAAGTGTATAAGTGGAAGATAGGTATTAATAAAGGGGATATTAATAAGGTCTTGAGGATGTCTCTCCAAGAGAGAACCCGCAGTAATGGATTTAAATTAGATAAGTTTAGATTTAGAAAGGACATAGGAAAGTATTGGTTTGGAAATAGGGTAGTTGATGAGTGGAACAGTCTACCTAGTTGGGTTATTGAGGCTGGGACTTTGGGTAGTTTCAAATTTAGGTTGGATAAGTACATGAGTGGGAGGGGTTGGATTTGAGTGGGACTTTCACATCAGAGCTTATTTCTTGGGTGGCATTGAAAATTGGGTTGGGCTAATGTTTTGTTAGTGGGATGAATTGTAAAGGACCTGCCTAGTATGGGGCCAACAGGCCTCCTGCAGTGTTCCTCCTTTCTTATGTTCTTATGTTAAGAAATGAGAATCACGACCAATCCAGAGAAAGTCCTCATCAGCATCACCGGTTGCCTGGCATCAACTAATGACAACAAAAGAGGTATCTCCATCAAAGGTACACCTATTGCTATCAGTAACCCAAATAAGATCCTGGGATACGAGATTGACAGATTACGCCACTCCACATCTCGTGTCTCCAAAAAAGTGAACCTAGCAAAAGTCTGCCTAAGCCAACTACAGCGTCTCCTCACTTAACAGCGGAGTTCCAGTCCTAAGACCCCCATCAGTGAACGAATTCGTCGCTAAGTGAGGAGCATAGTATAATGGTAGTGGGTTTGTATAAACCATCTTTGATATTGTTTTAGTGTCACCTTTGCACCATTTATAACATTTCTGGTATATTTTTAAATGTTTATACAGCAGTGTACTGTATACTGTAATAAACAGAATAGGGGAAATCAGCTTTAATATACATTATTTAGGCATGCATACTGGTCAGAAAGCCCATCATAAGTCTGAGTTGTCGGTAAACGAGTACATCGCTAAGTGAGGAGAGGCTGTATTCAGGTTTAACGAAGCCCCCTCCCACATCAAGAAGCACTTTTACAAGATGATGATAAGACCTTTGCTTGAATATGTATAAAAATAATAATACGTAATACTACTATAATAATTATAATATGTATGTACTACTACTTATAACTTTAGCATACGCCGATGTGCCCAGCATCTTTTCTCCATCTCCAAGGTAAATGCCGTATTCCTACATAATTTCTTTACATTATTATTGTTGTTGTTGTTTTCCTTATGAAACTATGTACATAGTAATCTAATGGAGCTTGCCTTACAAACACTCTGTTTTCTATTATAACAAAAGCATGGGAAGGTATGTAGGAATGGCTGCCGTGGTGGCCCTATACAATACACCCCAACAACAACATCAAAGGCCATTGTGCCGCCTCCACTAACACTACTCACATACATAATATTTCATTCATTCTAGTATATATATTATGTTTCTGTGTTACTTATATTGTTTATTGTGTCATATTAGATGAATTGTGATAGATAAACAAGTCGTAGAGTTGATATTAGGGAAATTATTGAAGTTTTTTGTCGTGCCTGGAATTCCATGGGAATGGATTAATTCCATTTCAATTAATTTAAATGAGGAAAATTGATTCTGCAAATAAGCAAATCCAGATGTGATCAAGGTCACAGAAAGGATTAAACTCGTAAGTAGAGGTTCCACTGTATTTCCATCCTTACTCATCCTTCTTCCTTTCCAATCTTACCAAAGCTCTGGTAATTCAAGCTCAAGTGTTCGCAGCAGTTGTGTTTTTTGCTTGTACAAACAGCATCCGCCAATCAACAAATCATTTTTATGTCATGTCTGCAGCCTCATCATCCAGATGCAGGTACATTCAAAATTTATTCCCAAATATATGTATGTTTAATTTCCTTGGGAAATCTTGGCAGTATCATCTAAGTTCCTGCAGCCTCCCAGGCTCTCAGTCAGAAGTTCAGCACTGCCTGCATACTGCGGTTTCAGCTCATATCTGCCAATTACAGCATGACAGAGGTGAGTTTAGTGGCATTTTTTTGTCCAAAGTGATTTAGTTCCACCCTGGCTTCCACAAAGATGGGTATGCAAGGCAGCAGATTCTCACCTGCCTATACCATCACTACCACTCATTACCTACTCCCTCTATGCTGTTTCTCTCTGAATTCTGTGCAAATTCCTGACCAGAGCTGTGTTCAAGTGCCCAAGCCACTCAACGCTACATGGGATACCTAGCCACATAGATCAATAAGTCTCTTCAAGATGACTGTTATATTCATCCTAAAATTCAAGTATCTTAAGAAATACAGCTGAGTTTTCAGTAATGTAACCAGCTTCTAATGTCATTAATATGTAACAAATAAAACTACTGCCAATTAAAATTTTACACCACAATATAATATTCAGTAATTGTTTTACACAATGGTAGGACTGCTGGTGCCTTTTCTTTCTGTTTCATAAACATGCAAGATGAAAGGTACATCTCACTTCTTTTGCTTACACTTAGGTCACATTACACAGGCATGTACATGCATATGTATACACACCCATCTCACTTTTCTTTTATTTTATTAATAGTTCTCTTGTTCTTATTTCTTTCTTCTTCATTTCCATGAGGAAGTGGAGAAGAATCCTTCCTCTGTAAGCCATGTGTGTCTTAAGAGGCAACTAAACTGCCAGGAGCAAGGGGCTAGCAGCCTGTATAAATTACTAAATGTAAAAAGAAAGTCTTTCTTCTTTTTCAGGTCATTCTGCCTGGGTGGGAAATGGCTGGTGTGTTAAAAAAAAATAGCTTTTTTAAATTCCAAATATATACACATTAAATTTTTTAAGAATTAAAGAGCTGAATTAGCTTAACTAAACAAAAAACAAAGGCTACATGGAGCTTACCTTCAGGTGTTCTAGTCTCGATATGACGAGCAATATCTTCCCAGTTCCCATATCCATACTGTTCTATTGCGTCCAATAATCTGACTTCTTCTCTTGCAGTCCAATGGCCTTGACCAGGGAAAATGCTAAAGTTTCCTGTATCCTGGAAAACACCGGCCTGTGAGAGTGCGGGCCCAGAGAGAGACAGTGACCCGTTAGTGAAGGGGGTGGAGGTAGGCAGAGTGCAGAAGCAGAGGCAACACTCATCTATTGTCAATTGTCACAAGTTTAGTTTAGCTTCCGACACTAATCTTCACGATTACGAGAAGACCCATTTATCTCATTTCGTTCACTCTCATTATCACTGTTACATATACTGATCTTCCTTTACAAAAAATGCATTTGTTCAATTAAAAAAAGGAAGAAATATACCGGTAGCTTGGGTTATTCATATGCAATATCTTACTACTAGGGACAGAAAACTGATTTCAATCCATTAATAGATTACTCTCTCATTTTACAATGTATTTTATCACCTTTGTTCACTTAGTAATTATTGAACCAAACAAGGTGATTATTTACACATTAAAGCATCATTAGCTATGCAGTTATAGTGAATAAGATATTTACTTAACATAGCGTAAAATTTTGTTTTCATAAGGAAGCACACTATACAGCATATTATACACATACACATACTCAAACTTTAAACAACTGTATATTACAAAAACTGGCTGCTATTTATTTAGTTTCTCTTAAAGGCAAATTCACTATAACATTGGTATGTAGTCTATAAGTACAGTTATGAGTAAATCTTTCTGCTTTTCTCATGACTACAAATGTACACAAGAGTTGCAATAGATTATGGTCAGAAATCCAACCCTAACAATCATGAAATATTGTTAAATGTGCGTATCCAGTTACTTTTGTATTAATTCTCTCTTTTGAAAGTGGAGCATTTTAAAATCTTGAATATAATATTGGAAACAATACTGACTTTATAAATGCTGAAGATACACTTTAATTATTAAACAAACCAATCAACTTTTAATGTGTAACAAAAAAAGGCACAGTACCGTGACTGGAACGATACACAAATAACCCGCACATAGAAGAGAGGAGCTTACGATGACGTTTTGGTCCGACCTGGACCATTTACAAAGTGACTTCGGTCCAAGTTAGACCGAAACGTCGTCGTAAGCTCCTCTCTTCTATGTGCGGGTTATTTGTGTAACTTTTAATGTACTTGAGATATGAAAATAATCATTTCCAGTTATTATTACATACATACAGTATGCCGTTTTTCCCCAGTTACTAAAGAGGTACTGCTTTTTCTATTTTGACCTTTGCATTACAAAAATTAATGCTGATATCTGAACATCCTTACAAGTACTTGCATAATTTTTTTCCAATTTGACAATGTATAGTACAGGTATAAAACAAAAATATCAATTATTACAGCAGAGTATAGTATAGTATATCAGAGACTCGGTTAAAACAATTGGATCACCTTGTTTGTTGCTGCACTTTATTTAAATAAGATTAAATTTATAAATTAACGTTGAGGAAAGGTCACAACACAGATAGGCTAAGGCTCTTAAATCTACAATACTGTACTGTACCTTTAACACCGCAACCTCGTTTTACTGCAAACCTCTAAGCCTATTATCCATGAAGTACCCCACAATATTCAGAAATCGCCAAAAAGCTGTGAATAGGGAGAAAATACTTGTATGTGCAAAATGAAAACTACTAGTCAAAACTGTTTCTTGCCTTGTTTCTTGCATACAGTTCACTTAAACATTACTGTACTAGTGTCAGGTGTACTTTAATTATTTTAATGTACCGCTGTTGATACAATTATGTACAAAACATGGATAAATTTGACTTTCACTGACAGTTGTAATATCTTATTCTAACTTTTTTGCCCATGACATTCACCCAAAATTTTTGGCACATTTTTCAGCTAATAATCTGTTATAAAGCATGTCTTCTATTTCCCCGATATAAAAATCAGCCATGCACAATTTTTTTTCCTAAATTGAGGTGTAAATTTTAACCCTGCTAACAAATTTTCCATCTTGTTGTTGCTACATTTATCAAACTCATGCATAATGGTTTACCTGAAACTACAGCATAATATATAAGATAACACGTGTGTATAGAAGATTTACGATAAAGTTAACAGTAAAAAGTTCTGCTTCACTCCCATTCTTTTCCTCATCCTCATATATGACATAAGACAGAGATGGAAACCATAGTACCATGTCTTCCTTTGCCAATGATACTAAAATTTGCACGAATGTGTCAACCACTGAGGACACTACCTATCTCCAAGTTAATATAATCCTAGTCTTCCAACAGGCCACAGAAAACAATACAAAGCTCAATGAGGACTAATTTCAATTACAACACTATGGAAAACTTGAGGTAATAAAAGCTAGAATGGAGTAGAAAACAAATTCTAACCAAACAATAGAGCAAAAAACTAATGCAAAGGACTTGGGAGTAATGTCAGAGGATCTCACTTTCAAAGAAAACAACAATGTCATTATCACATCTGCTGGAAAAATGATAGGATAGATAATGAGAACATTCAAAGTAAGGGATGCCATGCTAATGATGATCCTCTTTAAATCACTTATTCTCTCTAGGTTGGAATACTGCCATACATTAACAGCCCCTTTCAAGGCAGGCAAAATTGCAGATCTGGAGAATATACAGAAAACTTTCATTGCACATGTATACAGTACAGTCAAGCACCTCAATTACTAGGACTATCTGAAGTCCCTTGACCTGTACTCCTTGGAATGCAGGCAAAACACACACATCATTGTTTGCACCTGGAAAATTCTAGAGGGGGCTAGTCCCAAATCTGCACACAGAAATCACTCCCAACGAAAGCAAAAGACTTGACAGGCAGTGCAACATCCCGTCAACGAAACACAAGGCTGTCGCAAGTACACTAAGAGATAACACAATAAATGTCAGGGGTCCCAAGACTGTTCAACTGCCTTCCAGCATATATAAGGGGAATTACCAATAGACCCCGGCTGTGTTCAAGAGAGCTGAACGGATAACTAAAGTAAGTACAGTGGTCCCTCAATTATCGTCTTTAATCCGTTCCTGGAAGTGGGACTATTATCGAAATGGACGATTTTCGAATCAATTTTCCCCATAAGAAATAACATAAATCCAATTAATTCGTTCCAGACACCCAAAGTATCAACAACAATTTTTTTTTTTACCTAAAAGATAGATTTACATGCACAAAAGAATGAACATTCAACATGACAGTTACCTTTATTGAAGACTGTTGTTGATGAATGGAAGACAGGGAGGAGGAGAGAGGGAAGAGAGGGTATTGTTTGGAAGGGGAATCCCTCTCCATAAGGACTCTAGGTCACTTAAGGGGTCACTTCCCTAGCATAAATATAGATTTACATCCAGAAAAGAGTGCCAAATAAATGTAAAGCACTAATAAAATGTATAAATGAACATTGGTAATAGGGGTAGTTGATGAGTGGAACGGTCTGCCTAGTAGGGTGATCGAAGCTAAAACATTGGGTAGTTTCAAATTTAGGTTGGATAAATGCACGAGTGAGAGGGGTTGGATTTGAGTCGGACTTGCACCTGAGCTTATTGCATGGGTAGCATTTGTTCTGTTAGTGGGTTGGATTTGTGAAGGACCGGCCTAGTATGGGCCAACAGGCTTATTGCAGTGTTCCTCCTTTCTTATGTTCTATAAGCTATGGCTTGGGTAGTTTCAAATTTAGGTTGGATAAATACACGAGTGAGAGGGGTTGGATTTGAGTCGGACTTGCACCTGAGCTTATTGCTTGGGTAGCATTTGTTCTGTTAGTGGGTTGGATTTGTGAAGGACTGGCCTAGTATGGGCCAGCAGGCCTATTGCAGTGTTCCTCCTTTCTTATGTTCTTATTGAAGACTTGTTTGTGTGAGGGAGGGATGGTAAGTTTATTGTTGGAGAATATGACAGTAATATCAACTCTACAGCTTATTTATCTATCACAATTCAACTAATATGACATAATAAACAATATTAATAACATAGAAACATGGAATATACTCTAGAATGAATAAAATAAGTCATTACATATGTCACGAGAGGTGTTGTGTTGTGTTGTTGTTGGGTATATAAGGGCCACTGAGAGTAAGCCGTCCATAACGGTGGTGAAGCAGCAGCTGAGGCGGTGGTGTTTTCTGTAGCCCTATATAACTCCAACAACATTGGAGTTGATAGAATCGCTGAATCACTAAAGAAGGCACCCTCTACCACCATCACTACTGCCTTCTACCACTATTACAACTGTTACCACCATCACTACTACCTTCTACCACCATCACTACCACCCTCTACCACCATCAACCACTATCACAACTGCTTCCACTCTACCACCACCACCTTTGTATTTTTCTACAAACTTTTTCATAAATTATACGTGTTTCTCACATTCTTTACCAAAGGGCTGGCACTAGAAGTTTTCTTTGGTAGCTTATTTAGCACTTGCAAGCACTAAAATCAATGGAATATTATGAAATATTTTGTAGGAGCAAGTTAGGGGACCGTCACTCACTGGTAAACAATGGCACACTGGCTGGGAAGGCAGGCCCCAGCGGCTCAGAGCATGAGTACGCGTCCCAGACGCAGGACGATTAGCGAGTTAACGGACCATTTGCGAGCCAATGTTCAGACAAAATAATGGGACTACTTCCGAAATGGACGACTTTCAGGCCAGACAATTATTGACGGACCACTGTACCTGTCCAACCAGGCTGTGGTTCATACATTCAATTGCATGTGGCAAGCAGTAACAGCCTGGCTGGTTAGGCCCTGATTCACTGTGAGGCCTGGTCAAGGGCAAGGGCATTGACACCCGATTATCATAATCATGGGAAAGCACTAAACCCAGAGGATACAGCGCCTGTGGGGGGAAGGGGATGGAAGTTATTCAGGCTTAATTCAGGGAACTGGAGCACAGATCCAATTCCCTAGATCAAGAGCCCCTCACCAATGTCAAGGAATCTTCCTTGAAGGGATTGACACCTGAAAAACCCTCCAGGTAGACTCTAGGTATGTATACTACACCTCAGCTTGTATAAAATTATGTCTTAAGCCAAACACTATGTAAGTCATCTGTAAAC